CAAGTGCCCGTGCTCAGCTGCTAGAAGCAAAGCCGTTGCCCCATCTTGGCTTGTTGCATCTTTGTCAGCCCCAGCTTCTAGCAACAAGTGCACCACTTCCAAGTGCCCATTTCGAGACGCAATGTGAATTGGTGCATCATTGGCATTTGCACTTGCGCCCCTGCAATTGGGATCCTGTGGTTTTCGAAGCAGCTGCTCTATTTTGTGGACATCATTCTTTTCACAACCGCAAAGCAACTCCTCCTCTCCGGTCTCGTCAGGAGGACAAAAGTCGAGGATCACCAATTGCACAAGTGGCAATGGCCTCAGACACATGTCATCCTGAAGCTCGCCTATATCTTGGCTGAAGAGTCTTAGCCGAAACCTTGAATATCCCATCTGATCTGCAAGGAACCGCTTCAGGTCCCCAACCAAACTTCCTTGCTTCAACATGGAATTGAGCTCATCTTCAGCAAGCTTGCAGACTGTGGTGCCAGAGACAGCTACAATCTCCATACTGGTGTCTGCTCGGCAAAATGTGTCTGAAGATGTTTTGCCAAAAGGTGAATGTCCAAGGAACGGGAGAAGAACACTCTGCCACTGCCATAAACATACCTTTCAGGCACCAACCGCACATTATTCAATGACCAACTTTCCATTGTGAAGGGCCCCAAATGGTTGGTTCTGGCCAATGACGAGTTCAATAGGGTGTTTTGATTTGATAAGGGGCAAATGCATTTCCTACAACTCGTTGCTGGTGTGGCTGTCACTGTTGCCAAACAACATCTTGTCATGAACTGTGAATACCGTCCATGGGTTTACATGAATGTGCACACTCGGCGATGTCCTCCATAAGACTTAGGAGGCTTTGGCAGCCCAAAGAAGAACGGCACAAGCTATGAACCTAGTCCAGCCAGTGCCCAAGCTAACTGCCCGCGGGAAGTACTCATGGGATCTCCTAAACAAACCTCTTGGATTGAGGGGTTCGGGAGCTGGTGCAAGTCGAAGCCGGGCCCAGACACTAAATGAGTAGACATGGATGGCAAAGCCTCTTCATATGGGCTAGTTTGATTTATCTCAGAGTCTACACTGGCCAACCAAAAATACCGATCCCAACCAGCTGACCGCTGATTTCTCCACCTCGAAGATCCGCGTGAGCGTCTCCAAGTCGATCAACTCCTAAAGCGCGTTCGTCACCGGTCACCCGTCAGGCCGCACCGCGGGTCGTCTGGACTGGCCGGGGCGGAGCGGGAGTGCCGCGGACCGCGCCGAAGCTTCGGTTTTTGTGAACGAGGTTGGAGGCCATCGCTATTAGGTTGGAGGCCATCACGTGGTAACAAGAGTTGTGCTATGCGTTTTCCTCTGCAGCCCGGCACCTTCAGCTCTTCGGGTTGCGTCGCGCCCGGAGCGGCCCGAGCGGCCCCCCGCAATAGCGACGCCTCGGTGCCATTCCCGTCCAGACGGATGTCGGCCTGGACACCTCGCGGACGTGGAGAGCGTCCACGGCGCGAAGGGCGCGGCGCGGTGGTCGAAGTCGACGTCTTCCGCTCGCTTCGAGCAATGGAAGGCCTTGAGAAATTCACAGACACTCTTCATCTAATGTAGACCCTTGATTAATCAAACCCCCCAAATGAACAGGCATTTCAATTGATCTGGGGGGTTATTCATCAAGAGATATCAAGAGTCTTCATCCAAATATTTCGATGTCATCGTCCGGCCCTGCAATTCTAGCTAGTTGGCACGATGACGCCGACACCACGGTCTGACAAGTGAGACGCGCACACGGTGTGCGGGCCAGCTGACGGCCAGGGCCGTTCAAGTGCTGCACCAGTGGTTTACCGCAGAAAAGCATCTCCGTTAGGATGTGATAAATGAATCATGTTGGAATTCCTGTGTGGCGCCCTGCCGCGAAGGAATTATGTGGCCCCGCGCCTGCGGCCACATCAGCAGCAGACACCTCTGCGCAGTCTAGTAGCGTCCTTGCTACTACTGTAGTAGCAATGCCGTTGTTACTACTAGCGATGCCCTTGTCCCTGAAATAGTAGATAGAATATGCAGTAGATGACAATAAAAAACGAACCTTGAAGAGGCTCATGTGATTCGGGCGTCCCAAATGCAGCGCAAACGTCTTTAACACTCGCAAATGACTTTCTGACTATAGCTCAAGAAACCGTCACCAAAGTCCGCCACAGTTCTTAGTGATTCTCTCGCTTTCAGGGGCGCTTTCTGGGGATCATACCCAAAATGAAGCAGCAACGCAGCAACACTTCCTTTTTACAGGTTCCCAGGTCCAAGTCCTTGAAACATCGGTCTCCGCCGCCCTAGATGACCACCGCACGAAATCCAAAAAGGTTGACTCACCATCAAAACATGCTCCATCAGTGGACTCCTCCTCCTCGCATGTGTCGCACCTCGCGACCTTGCCCGGGACCTCGCCTGTGTGAGGCTCCCATGGGAGGCAGAGACCATGGAGTCACCTGTGGAGTTGCTCTGAGTGGACATCGACCGATGTGCGCCTTCCAAAAAACACTACCAGGTGCTAGCAGGGATGCTACCATGGCAGCAGACAAAGATGCAATCTTCAGCAGAACAAAAGAAGCGGCTTTCTCCAACATACCGCTTGCTCCAAGGCAAGCTGCCCACTGTCACTGTCTTGTCTGTTTTCAATTTGCTGGCAATCGTTGATCCTTTTGTTGAGGTGGGTCCGAAAACCAACAGCAACGATCAGCAAAGAGACAACCCCCACGGTCTGACCGCGGAATGACCGGATATAACCACGGCGGAATGACCCCTCTCGGACGAACGAGAGGGACCTGTCGTGGTGGCTTGGAAGAGCTTTTCAGAACAACAGACATAGACGTTAACGCGGTCGGACTCAAAAAGATCTGCTGTTCTCAGGCTTGGCATGCTTTTTGGAGAAGAACCACTGAAGTGACAAAAGGCTGCAGAAACACTTCCAGAGAACTGCAGGGGATGTCTGTCTTTCAGAAGCTGGTCCAAAGTGTTTGGGAGATCGACAATTGGAAGTGTCAGGCTCCTTCCGGAAGTTTCAGGTTCGTACCATGAAGAGGTTCATCATCCTTACTGTAGTTTCGTTGTCCATCTTTCTTTTTGACTATGATTATTATTATTATTAGTATATACTGTATCATTATTGCTTTGTTAGTTGTTTTACAGTATACTTATACTATAGTACCTCAGTCACCCCGCTCAACCAGTGGATTCAGGAAAACAAAGGCTATAGTGACCCTTCACCGTCAGACCACCTCCCTTCACTCTCCCAAAAACGTGAAATCGTCACTCGCCTTCAAGGCACAGGGCTTGGTAGCCTCAGCTACTAGCGAATTGCGAAGGTGTTGGAGAGGTGATGAGAGGTCTTTGGTTCGATGGCCTCCAACGTCTACGATGTCGTCGCGATCTGGACATGTTCGTCGAAGGGCGCCTGAAGAGGGGCGATCGACCAAACATGGCTGCTCTTCTTTCTTGTATAGTATTATATACTACACTAGTAGCTTCTTGCTCCTTAGCTTCTGGCCTCGCTGCTTGCGATGGGCTCCACCGAGCATAACTCTAAGGGATCCGTCAAATGTCCAGCTCTTTGGGAGGAACGTTGAATCGTTCCGCGCACACGTAGCTCAAGGCCGAAGCAACTCTCAAGTCCCACCCGTTGAAGATGAAAAAGCGCAACCAACCCCAAACTCTTCTTCTATACCATACCTCTTCTTCGCAAGATCCATCATCCTACAGCATCCTACGCCCCAAAAAGCACCTGGCCGTGGAATCGGACCATTCAGTCCCACTCACCGTCCGATGGAGCTCACTCGTCACCGCAGAGACCAAGGAGCTGATGGGCATCTCTCCACAGAGACTTTGCCACAAGGGCAAAGCTCGCAGGGTGTCTTCCACAGCCTCCCCGCTCGTGCAAGTCTCCACTGTCTGAGTCTGTCCACGGTCTGCGGTTTTGGAAGGTTTTGATCAGAATCCAAACTCATTGGTGCAGTCCGAACATGTTCGTCGCTGCGTTGACACAGAGAAGGGGCGATTTCTACGACGCCAATCTGTCGGGCCCCTTGTAATCCCCATCTTAGGATTGCTGCAGGAAGAATTGCTAGGGAAAATGCAGATGGCGACCCAAGGATCCACCCTCCGAGGGGACCCATGTTCTTGTTGAGTTTGCGACCCACGTATCACACCTCCAATCGGGACACCTCGTGACCCGCCCGAGTAGATGCACGACGCATGCCAAAGGAAGACCTGGAAGACCAGCACCAACACTGGGATTGCCGAATTCCTCTCGTTGAGGAACCCCAGACCACCTGTCTTGCTCATAGACTCATAGACAAACCTCCAGCCAAGCTGACCCTCTGCTGAGCTTAAAGCCCCAGTGCTCCAAGACAAACTGAAGTCCACATGAATACCGACCAGTTGACCTACGTGGTGTCGGCTCACATGGTTGAACAACCCCTTCCCAAACCCACTTGCGATGGTTTCCACCTAATAGCGTCCTTGCTACGAGTAGCTATTTGCTCCATAGTAGTAAGGCCAGGAGCGCCCCTAGTAGCGTCCTTGGCTCCGTTCGTAGCGATGCCCTTTGTTACAAGTAGCTTCAGACCTTTCTGTGGCTCGCGCGCCTTTGCACGTTGCAGCCCCACCGATGAGACCGTGTCAGCCTGCGGCAGCTGATAGATGAGCACCTCAGGTGATTTGGAAGGTCGCAGAATGCTGTCCATGCACCCGCCACCACTTGGCTGTGGGTCAAAGCAAGGGACCCTGGTTGGACCACTGAAAATGAACCGAATAGACTACTAGGCAGGTCAACCTACCAGGGTTTAGGGCTCCGCGTTTTACACCCCGCGACAGAGCGAAGGTCACAACTCACTGTCCCTCAAGCCCGACCCCCCAGAGAACTTCAGATTTCCTTGGGCTTCCGCACCAGGCGCCGCCAGGTGACTTGTGCAACCATCGCGGCGCCGCCTCCACCAACACCCTATAGGCTCACCCCCCCCTCTGCGGGTCTGAAGACACGAATTCACCCCAAAAAGATGGATATGCTGGTACCGGGTGTCACCTGGCAGCCAGAGCAATGCCAGGTTAGAGGAAACCTCAGTTTCGGGGAGATCGTCGTAACTGGGAGAGAGGATACCCGATACCTATACAAGTTAAATGGACAAATGATTTTCTTTCACAGACAGAAGATGTTTGTCTTTCTGTACATTGAGTGGACACTTCTGAGCCCTCGCAAAACTGACACCCGCTCTTGAAGGAGTGCAGCTCTGGCATCCTCCAGCCTTTAGTTCGAGAATAGACTTTCAAACGTTGGGAGATTCGACACGTTTTGGACTCTATTGTGTCTCAAAAAAACCTACCCCAGCTGCAATCAACCGTCAAGAACTAACAACTTGACCATTCCTCAAGTTGTTCGGACTTGCTGTAGCTAGGCAATCCCCTCAACTCCTTTATCCATCTAAAGACTCCAAGCCCTCCAAGCACCTCCTTCCCGCATTCCGAAGCCCGGCTTCCACCAGCGCCTGGTAGTCCCTGCCCCACCGTGGGCTCCGCCAAGCGTTGGGCGCGTTGCCAACGGACCCATTGGGCGGTCGCCTCGTCACTCACCTCGCGCGTTGCCAACGGACGTGTTTGGCGGTCGCGTCGCACGGTCAGACTTTCTGCGGCTCCAAATCCGGCCAAGGTAGGTCGCTCTCTGTTTCCTCAAAATCGCTCTCTGCACCAAGGTAGGTCGCCCAAGGGACATTTGTGTGGTACCTCGGGGTAACCCCCCAGCGGGGAGACTCTTCCGGCATGCCGGAATCGTCGGGCCGGATCCGGCCACACGAAAGGATCGAGGTCCAAACCGTCTGGACGGACGGTTAGGTCCACCTGGGTTTGCTTCAAGAAGATACACTCCCTGAAAGAATCATGATCCGAAGAGCGAGCAAGCAGTTGGTGAACTTCACAAAACCCTCCACGTAACCGATGATTTCAAGGAGTGTGCATCACAACTCTGCATCCTATCTCACATGTAGCAACTCTGCTTCGTGGGTAGCAAGGACGCTACAGTATTAGGTGGAGGCCATCGCAAGTAACCAGAAGCAAGAAGCTACTAGTAGCAATTACAGCAACTCTGCTTCGAGGTTCCCCCCTCACGGCATCTGGCCATGAAGGTGTCAAACAGAGGGGCCTCAAAGCGCCCCTTGTCTTTGGGCTGCGTCCAACTCATCCCTCTTCCTCTTTTTCGTGGGATTTCACCAAGCTCTACCTTAGGGAAGGCAATTATGGGTATGTAACAGTCTGTATATCTTAAATAGGGCTAGGGAAATAGACCAGTCTACAGTCTCTCTAACCCCGCTACCTGCGTGGTGTAGCTGAAGGAGCCCTCCGTGAAGACAGTGATCTTGACGCTGTTCGTCAAGAGCGCAGTGCCTGTCGGAGGAGAAAAGCGCTTGACTTGCTGATGTCATCATGTCCAACAAAACGATTGGTCGGAGAAATAGAAATTGAAAAAAGTTGTTGATAGACTTTGATAATCCAGGAAGTGGTTTGTCGCACTTGATGACCATAACAGTGCTGCTCGACTCTCAGTGGAATCCCGTCATTCGCCTACAGCCACAAGCCATGACATGCGCCGGAAAGCAATGTTGCTCATTACTGTCCTTGACCAAGAACACTGGAACCAGTGTGTTGCTTCAATCTGACACCCCTCAAACTCCGCTCTCACTCAACAACAAGGGGTTGGTCATGTCTCAAGAAATAGTAAAATCCGGTACAAACCAAATGCTCCTAGGACCTGTGTTTTCGCCCTTTTGCGACGTTTTGTCAACCCAGGAGAACAGTCATCAGATCTCCATTCCTGTCCTTTCCTTCACGACAAAACACCGTGTGACGTCTGGCCCCGAGCCCCGGCCCGAAGGCAGCTGGTCCCTGTTTCTGAGGACAAGGCTTAACACCAGTGCGAGGAAGAACATCATGATGCCCAGTGGGATCAGCAGTTCGCGCCAGGGCCTGCGGGTAGGCCAACACCGCCCACCACCACCGGAATCGAGTCCCACCCTGTATGGGACGGGTGAAGCATTGGAGAAGGAGAGTTGCCTCCTCTTCCAGGAGTCCCTTGTTCAAGTTCCATGCGAGTTTCCAGGCACGCACGTATGTGTGTGTGTGTGTGTGGAACCACGACAACCAAATTGGAGAAGCTGAGAGGGAGAAAGCGGTCCCATGCCTTGACAAGTGTAGCACCCTCGTCCCAACCATATCCTTCAAAACGGCATCTCCTTGCGGCCTCCGATTTTCACACACCCAAGGTTACAAAAAATCGAAATACACTGTGACTGACTTCGATTCGAAGCTTTGAATCTTCGGAAAAAATAGACAGATAAATATATAACTCCCGTTCATCCAGTCTTCTTGGATGATCCTCCTGTACCGTCCGAGACACCCGCCTCTTCTCGCTGGGAAGCTCCAAGCGGTCAAACACGGAGGCTGAGGAGAAGCCGGAACCCACCGAGTAGAGGGACACGCCCCGGCCCTCCGCCTGCATCGCATGCCGGATACACGAGGGCGATGGTCTCGCATAGCACTGTTCGGGCTCACGAAGCTGGGAACAGCTGGGAACAGCTGGACCATTTCGGGTGAATGGTTCCGGTCTTATTGCTTAAACCACATCCATCTGATCATGTTCTTGATCAAAAAGTAACACATCTTCTTCTGCCATTGCGTGACGAACGCGTCCCAGTTCTTGGGTTCTTGAACTCAAGCAAATGGAATGTCGGAATGACGTGAGCTACAAGAAGAAAGGCTTGGGGGGGTTCTTGGCTGGGGGCTGAAACACAACTCTGCGAAAGCAACATCGAGCTGGTTTGGCACATGTTCTCTGATGTCCCCGTAGTGCGTAGTAATTGATGAGAAATGGAGTTCATGCCCATGGACCATTGCACAGGTGGATCACAGGTGGGTCCACTGCGCAGGTACAGCAATGCTTGGAGATGTGGCGCAGGCTTTCGTCCATGAACGTCTTCTGAGAGGCAACCCAGTGATCAAGAGCACCCAGTCATGAATGTCAAGTCTTCTGAAGGGTTCTTTGGTCTGGAGCGTGAAGTACAACCCAGTAGTCCATATTCTCACAATCTTCGCAGCACCATCCAGCATCTCTTCGCCGAGCGGCTGAGAATCTCCGTCGGGCGGTGCTGCCCCCCGAGTCCTGCGTTGCTTTGCCACGCTGCGAGTGTTCATCGCTGAGGTGGCTATGGGTCAAAAAGAAGGGTTTGGCACAAGGGTTCCACCGGTTGTAGTACCAGAAAGGCAAGTTTGGCTACAGGTGTGTTACCCCCACTGCCCAATAAAGGGGTAAAACCTACCAAGTTTGCCTCGTTGGTGGAAAACAACGCACACTGTATATCGATACCGTGTACTCCAAGTCAATTTCACCAATTCACCCCGCTTCGCTCTGCATGTTCAGGATCCTGCCAGGTAGCTGTTCCTCTTTATGGACAAGTTCTCCTGCCACGATATCCCAGCCTGAATATCTGAACAAAATAAACACATCCAGCGGCTGGCAGACTGCGGTGCAGCACACAGAATATGTGCAAAAAGGCCTTTCCGGGAGATCTAAACTATTGAAAGGATCCTTATATAGCATGCCCTGACCACGTGACCCAACAGACTTCCTTCACAATTGGAACGTTGCCTTCGTTTGATCCAGGTTGAAGTTGCACCACTGTGAAAGCCGGTCCAAAACCTTCGAACTCCCTGCAACATGCTTGGAAAAGAGCGGCTGGTTGAAGCAAGTCTTCAAGAAGTTCTGCTCGAATTAATAGACATGGTAGTCAACCCATGCCACCGTTGCAGGATCCGCACATTGTCTTTCGATGCGACATGCGCGGCAGTTCTGTGTCGAGGCAGGAGTCGGACCATAATGGCTTACACGGGAACATGATGGCTTTCTTAACATAAGCATAGGCTGCCAGGCTTGATATGTTTAGAGGGACACATTCGGAACATGGCATCTATAGCAGGGCCCCGGTTTCCGAGGTGGCTCATGGACACCCTTATTATATATACTCAAAAAGGGGCCATTATCATTATTGGACACACCCCTTAGGGGGGCCCTGGTGCACACGCTCCAAACGAACTTACTTTATGTCTCGATGTCCGAGATTTCAACGAGTGCACTTCTCGTGGCCAAGCAAAGGCACCTTCGAAGCATGCAAAGAAAAGTGGTATGGCCGTGTTTGTATAGTCTATGGTACTGCATTTCTTGACATCCCAAATGCATCTGTTTCAAGAAATCGGACTCTTCATCCCAGCCTCCCACCGACACTTGCGTCGCACCACCTATAGTGGGTTGAGAGTGGATGCCACAATCCCCAAGAGGTGGTTTAAATGGGTGCCGTATACTCCGAAACCACTGTCATCATCCCAATCTCATCCTTCGAGCGCTTCGAACTTTGCGATGTGCGACGTGGGCGGGGTGTTTCCAACTCATCCTCGAAATCCCTCAGCTCGCGGCCGAAAGCACCACCAACCAAGTGGGACGGTCGGTCGGGGTCTCCAACTGCTCAACGGTTTCGTTGGTTTTGGTCGTAGAACAGAATAGAAACCGAATCCATCATCGGTGTCTTTGCTTCAGACACTGTATGGCATCGAATCCACTGGTCCCCACAAGAAAACGTCAAGTCCGGAGATCCAATCATCCAATCTGTGGGAAACCGTATGCCATGGGAATTGCTTCCGCAAAGGAAATCCAAAGCGCTCGCCAAGAGAAAGCACCTCACCTCTTGGGGCAAACAAAGAAACCACCTTTTCAGTGACGAAGAGCAAGTTGTGAAAACAGAGCCGCCTGCAGTAGCTGCTTTCATCCCCTCCAGGTAAACTGGCCGGAAAAAGAATTGGAGCAAGGTCAATGTCCGTCAAATCCTTGGAGCATATCAAAGAGTTAAATAAAAGCCGAACAAATCACATCAATCAACGTCACATCCAACTCAAAAAGAACGAACCAAGACTCCGGAAAGAATCACCGCGAACCCCCCCCCCCACGGTGGCTAATCCCACTGGCACCGGCCCCCGAGAAAATCGGTTCGCCAGGCCGCAGCTCCGGCGACTTCGCCGCCTCGTCCCAGTCCTGGGCCTGGAGGGAGTGCGCATCGGTGGGGAGCACCAGGTGGGAAAGAGCAAATGAGTGCTAGATGTTTATCCAGGCCTGCAATTAAGAAAAAGGTGATCCTCTGCTAATGAGGACCTGTCCTGGCATAAGGGATGCCAAAGAGGTCATTGAATATGACCTAGCATATTCATCATGGTTCTACCATGTTCTACATCTCAAAAGGCTCATCTCCTTTTCTCTACAAGAAGAACAAATCTGGCAAATGCTTTTCCAGAAAGGAAACCCGGTTGCACTCTACGCTTCGCACAAAGATTGAGGTGAAGGCCCGCTATGCAGAGATCTAGCCTCAGATTTCTCCCCAGAAAGATCTATATAAGATTATATAAGTATTCTTTGAGAGATTCGATGAGTGAGGATCTATCGCGTGGAAGCACGACCATGGATGATGGGGCAGGGAGCGACAGGCCAGGAATCAGGGAGATAGATTTGTCCAATCTCAGATCTCAGACTGGGAACGTGCTGGAGGAAAAAAGAAAACATACCAAAAAACGAAAACATACCAGTCAAGAGATGTTGTTGTGCAATCTTTATTTGAAACCGAGCCAGGTGTGATCTTCCGGAACAAAAAATGCTTGGAGAGCTGTGCTTTTGCAGTGCTTCGTCTTCTCCCTATCCCTGAGAGGCGATTGTGGCCGCCTGAACCTCGGCGTCAGCGCCATCCCAGGAGAAAACCATGTGGCCCAGGCCCAGGCATGAATGTGTAGTTGTGGCTCAAAGAACATGAGAAATTCCCTCCTGATGTGCAGCTAGCTCAAAGAACATGAGAAATTCCCTGCTAATGTGCAGCTAGAATGCCAAGTCAGGGTCCAGGGGTATGCGTCTTTCATTTCAGAAGCTTTAAGACCAATGCCATTCCTCAGATCCTCCAATGCTTGAACGTTTGAGGAACTCTGCGGGATGTCTCAAGATTGAAAGCATTGTGTAAATCTGGATTGCTTTGTCGCAAAGGAGAATATCTTCTACATACCTCTACCAAATTGATACTGGCTGCATTTCTACCAACTTGCCACACTCAGCAAACTTCCAGGTATTTGGCGATTCAATCCAAGCGAACTACGACTGAACCCAGGCGCAGCCGAGCGTGAAGAAGAATTTGGCTGTTCAATCCATCAAGGTGCTTTTCACCATGGCGTTGGTTGCAAAGTGGCCATTTTTTGTCATCTTGTTGCCACAAACACACCCTGTTTGACACACAAAATGATCGTCTTTCATCCACCAGATTTGGTGCCAGCTACGGCCGGTCCGGTCCACTTGGTTTGGAGGTCGTGCCTTGAAGATGTTTAGAGGAGATCTGAATTAGGACGGATTTTGCCTGGTCCATGTGTTGAAAATGAAAACCCTACCCTGGTCCATGTGGAGACCAAGCCGAATTCCAACCTGATGGGAGATAAGTGGTGATAAGCTCACTTGCAAGGCGATTCCAGCCCCCAGCCCAAAACTTGCGAAAGCAAGAGCAAGTCCAGCTACCTGATGTTAGCTTTCGTGCAAAGAACTCCAAATGTATCATCATGCCCAAACCTGCTTCCGGATTCATATTCCTTCTACATATTCATATTCTCCAACCAGCACTTCCGCCCTGCCAATCTGCAAGCGTTCGGACGTCCAAATCCAACAAGCATGCCAAGGAGGTCTCTTCAGGCCCTTCTTAAAAAAAAGGAAATCAAGCATGCCTGACGGAAAATCTAACCAGGAGGACGAAAGCACCCCTCGAGGTCCAGCCCATTAGAGCACCCAAGCAGAGCTGAGCCCGGACGTGCGCCGGACGTGGAACAAGCGCCACGGGAGTGCGGTACCGAAGGCTTCGGGCCCAGAAAATTGCACCTCAATGCTCCAAAACAGGCCAGGCCATATGAGAAAAACATGTTTTTGGATATCTTCGGGAAAAAAGCATGGGATTGATTTTCGTTTCTTTTCCCTCTCTCTGGAAACATTGCCTCGGATGGCCTTGAAATCGCTCGCGACGGATCGCCAACACTGAGTCCACCGCGGCGCAGAGCGAAAGGCGGCCACAGCGGCCAGGACTGGTCAGTCCGACCGGTCGACCGAATCGTCTTCGTCCGGTCCATCGGATGGTCCACCAGCAGAGTTTGGGCCTTTCTTTTGAAAAAAGGGTTGGAGGTGAAGGTTAGTGCTTGGAAGAAATGGCTTATGAACTGCCTCCAAAATGCCGCTTGAAGGCAAGGAGAGAGTCGAAAGAACAAAAAAAGCACCTACTACCCGAACTACAATACAACACACTTACAAATGAATACCTGAGACAGAGTAACAGCTAACAGTGAACACTTTGTAGACACACACAATGACCAAACACACTTCTGTGACACTCTTAGGACATTTTTGCGTAACACTCTTGTAGGCCACACTTCTTTGTGACACTCCTGTGTGCGACACCTTTGCGTGACCCTCCAGAAGGACACCCTTGTGGGACACTCTTCAAAAAACGTCAGAGGTGCACACCTTCGCCAAGTGCAGTCAAACAATTCTCTGCGCGCCCGCCACCCAGAGAATGTAATCATATCCACACGCCTCCAACAGGCACAAGTGACTGCATTTGCCACAATTTACGGCAGAATCCGCACATTTGTGGGCACAGCTCAACAGCAGCAACAGACCGACGGGACACCGACGCGACTCAATGTCGAGCCCAGCCGAAGAAAGCCTCGCGCGCCATCGGGTCGCCAAGGTCGCAATGGGCAAATCCCCACGGCACAGCGAAGCCAACTCCAGACCCTTACACACTTACACCATCCTATACCAACATATTACCACACTGCGCCGGAAAAGAAAGCACCAGAGACCAACCACAGACCATCTAGCACCATCACCGTTTCCCGTACGATCAAATATCCCCGCAGAATTGGGATTGCAACACTTCTTCATATGTGATTTTAAGAGGGGACCCCCAAACCGATTGGTTAGACCGGTCGATGTTCCAAACCGAACGCAGGGGGAAGGTCTCCACGCCGGTCGGGAGACCCCATGTAGACCACGTCCATACCGATGAAGCGCACGCGAACGACGGAACAGGACGACTGACCAAAGCAGAAGAAGCCTCACGTTTATATCCGCAAAACGTTTTTTTCAAGTAGAACTGTTCTTTTTCGACCACCCTTGGGAAAAGTTCACTTGCGACAAAATGAACGACATTTCTGCCAGAAGCCTCCATTTCCGATGCTCTACACACATCCAGAAAGGCCAAATAGGTGCATGAAAAGGTCCACCATCTTAAGTGGTCAAAAACGGGGACATCACAAAACAATCCTCAATCTAGACTCTTGATGAATAAACGCATAGGAAGTCTAGCTTTACAGTTGTCCATGGGGCATCTCGATCGACCAAAAAGGCCCACCTAGCGCCGCTGAACGCAGCCATGCTTTGGCCGCCATGCGGAACGCGCCTGCGCGGGGCGGAGGGGACGGGCGGTTGAAAAGGGCCGACCTTTTGGGACGTGCGAAGACCCGACGCACGGAACCGGGGCGCGGTTTCACACACGTCTTGGAGCAAAGCCCGATGAAAAATGAGGTGCTCCACTAAAATAGATTTAAAAAGAAAGCAGGTCTGGAGTGTGATAGAATATTGCCATCTATGGTCATCCTGCAGTAAAACATTACAATAAATGACACATTTCAAAGACAACATTACCATTGACCGTTATGTTCCTGCTGTCCTTGGAATGCGATACCTATGTTCTATGGCAAAAGCTTGAGAAATCTTGAGGATTTTCCAGGAAACTACTGCAAGTTCCAAACTGTGTCCATCCCCAATCAATCTTTCACTGGAAGCACCCCTCCATCACCCTCACTGATGTCAGCCAGGGCCTTCCCTGTCCCATGTGGACAAAATCATTCAAGATCTCCGAATATGTACTCCATGTACTCCCTGCACCAATCATAGAAGTGGATGGCACCACCTGTTGGTTGAGGATTTCATTGTCATCCAAAAGGGCCATCCACTTCTATGATTATTTTAAGGAGTGTACATCCTCTTGTGCTCAGTTGCAGTTCCTCGGCCGTTTGATCCGCCAGTTTGAGGCTGCTCTTCATCAATTCACGACCAAAACCTCAGCCTGCCAAGGACTATCTTTCTTTGGGAACGCCGCATGGTCATCCCTTGTTCCATCAATGTGGAAACCGTGTCACCTCGGTCCTGAGTCCCAATCATGCGAACACAGGTAGGGAAGTGATGTTCAAATACGGGTCCCGGGTCCATTGGGGTCGGGGATCTTGTGTCCAAAAGATCCTCCACCTGTGACCCGTGGAGCTTTTCTAAACGGGAGTTGGCTCTTCATCGGTGCAGAAGGACACATCTGGACACCCAACCTGCCCAACGACCCCAACCACCGATGTTCTTTTTCAAGTCCAACCCCAACCGACCCCAACCGACCCCAACCGACCCCAACCGACCCCAACCGACCCCGACCCCGCACCCCGAACCACCCGGCTCCTCTGGTCCTTTCGCTCCGGATCCGCCGGGGTCGGCGGGACACGGGGCGAAATGGGCTGAGGCGGTCACGGAGCGGTCCAGCGGGGTGTGATGAAAGGTGGTGACTCTTCTTGTTCTAAGACTCCCTACCTCCCCCCCCTCTCCCTACTTAATTGCATAAGTCTAGGCACCTACGGTAAACTAAGGGAGAGGTAGCTAGTAGCTTACTTCAGCTACTAGCATGGATGCAGGATAGCTCACACTTCAAGGAAGCTCACCCCGCCTGAGGGCGAGGGGGAGCTTTCTTGAATCTTTTAGGGAAGCTTAACTACCTAGAAGTGATGGATTTGAAACGGTGGAATTTGAGGAAAGAGGGACGTGTGAATGCCACTGGATTTCCCAACGTCTGGGCACGCCCATGCCCTCTGGCACACATGGCTTTTCTGCGAATCGGCAGGTCAGAGAAGCACCAAATCACAGTCGAATTCGAGGGTGCCTTCCCACCCCAACTAAAATGAGAAATGGCACACCCAGCACACGCAGATCCATGCATAGGTTCTGTCGCATGGTTATTTGTCGGCCTCCAAACAATCCTCGGAGCAGTTGGTCATGGTAAGACCCCGAGCCAGCATTTTGGTCTTTCCTCGCTGACCAGACACAGTAGATTCGTGCTTCATAAACCAAGTCCCAGTCGGCCAAGCAAACGTTTTCCCAAGAACCGCACCACTGCCCGGTGGCCTCTGACTGCCGCCCAAGCCAATGCCCACCAAGCTCCAGGAACCGATTCTCCAGCAGAGTCCATGAACAACTGCACCATGTCCAGCCGTCCCGCGCCAGCGGCCCAACGCAAGGCCTTCCCCCCTGTCCCCCCCGCGCGCAGGAAGGCTCGTACTGCTCTCTCGTCACCCAGCTGAGTGGCTAAAAGCAAAGCAGACTCACACTGCTGCGCTTCAAGGGTTCCAGTCTGTAGGAAGAATTGCACCACTGACAAGTGGCCATGCAAAGCAGCAAATTGCAAGGCAGTCAAACCATCTGGACGTTGGGCCTCTGGACTGGCGCCTGCTTCTACCAACAACTGCAACACTTCAAGGTGTCCAAACTGAGCTGCCAAAAGCAACGCCGGTAAACCATTCGGGCATGTGGCATCCGTGTCAGCACCCAGCTCCAGCAACAACTGCACCACCTGAAAATGGCCATTCCGCGCTGCCAACAGCAAAGGTGTCATGCCACCTGGGTGTTTCGCCTCTTTCTTGGCACCAGCCTTCACCAACAAATCAACCACTTCTGCATGGCCACTCTCAGCTGCCCAGTGCAAAGCGGTCCAACCACCGGACTCTGTTGTTTCCTTGTTGGCTCCAGCCTCCACCAACAATCTGGCAATTTCCAAGTGCCCTTTACTGGCTGCCAAGCGCAAAGGAGTCAAGCCACGTGTTCTGACTTCCAAGTTGGCCTTGGCCTCAATCAACAATGCCACAACTTCGAAGTGGTTGTTCTGGGTTGCCATGCTTAAAGCAGTCCAACCATGTGTGCCTGCATCTGTGTCAGCGCCAGCCTCTAGCAACAACCGTACAACTTCCAAATGCCCACCATCGGCCGCCATCCACAATCCACTGTTTGAATAACGATCCGTTCTGTTGGGATCGTGTGGTCCCTCACGCAGCATCTGTTCCACGTCTGTTGGGCGATCCTTGCTGCATGCCGAGAAGAATTGCGTGTCCATCGAAGAGTCGCTGGGGCAAAAGTCCAAAACAACCAGCTGCAATTCAGGCCACTGCATCAGAGGCATGTCATCATGAAGCTCCCCAGTGTCAGCTAGAAGTCTTTGCCGAAACCTCGAGTATCCAATCTCGTCGGACAGTCTCTGCTTCAATCTCTTGATCGTTTGCCCAGTTTCTATCATTTGATTCAATTCATCTTCCGGAATTCTTGTCCATGGTGCACCAGACACTTTGTTGATGCGCATGGTCCCCGAAACTGAAATTGAAACAATGTGTTGCTTGACGTGATCAAAGAAATCATCTATCTGTCTACAGATCGATCAATCTGTGCATCTATCTAATTTTAGTTTGTCTTATCTTGTCTTATCCATCTATCTGCTGCACTTCGTCTCCCGGATCCTACCAACAATACAACCACATGTATCCAATGGGTTTTCTTTCATCTTCCTCTACCCGCCTTGGGGAGTCCCCGCTTTTGAACCAGAGACCAGAGAGATCCCGCCAAATTGCACGTTGCGTACAACATGACCAACCAAGTCATACTATTTGCCAAAGACTTTTGGCTTTGCAAAAGAAACACAAGCGAGCGAGAATCAGATGTTTGCAACGCGGGTAATTCAAACTCGTCATTGCTTTGCAATCTCACAAGCATTATCGAGTAAGCATGTGGAGTTGCCCCAAATGTAAGGCAACATCCAAGCCAACACCAGGCATGAAACCTATACAGATTTTGTGTGTAAACGCCCAACCCAGTACTTACAAGAACGCACAAAAAATGAGAGCCTCCCCACCCTGAGCACGAACCAGGTGAAGCCTGAAAATTTGGTTTTAAGTCGCTGAAACAGTGTCCACATGTGCCTTCTCACCATGTCTTCTGCGGACCCGAGCTGTCCCGCAGTCTTGTGAGTCTCCATGAACAATGTCATGTGGGCATTACTAGAGATTCGCACACCTCGAACTCTGACAACCGTAACTGGCAGCCAACAAACCGGAACTGAAGAGCACCTTCAACATCAACACCAGCAATAAATGGCAATCAATGCAACTCTGTTGGTCAAGGAAACTTCGTGAAAGATCTTCTTTTGTGAATTTCATGTGTCCTTGTCTTGTGAAACCATAAATTTCATTGCCTGTGCCTCGTCCTGTGCAAAATGAAGGCGCGATGATCTTGCCTAGCATTTAGATTCTGGGCTGCCCTGCCGTTAAAAACATGGACAACCCAAATTATAGGACCGGATAACCACACATGTCAAAGCTTTCTGCAAACCCAAAATGGCAGACTAAAAGCAAGGTACTAGATACACAAACAAAACAAACCTGACATGTAAGGACCAACTATGTCAAGATTTGCATGAGACAATTAAGAATATATATAACATATATGTATATATCAAAACCGTCATGAAAAACGAAACACCAACCTGCGCAAACAAAGACGTTTGCTGAAGTGTAGGTTGCAACACCAAGCCTCGTTGACACCGCCCACCATCATGCCCCCGAGCGACAACCCACTTTTACGCATGTTTTTCTGTGTCCCAAATGGCACGGAGCCACGCAAACACACGTTCCACCGACGTCGCCCAAATCCGCATAACACGGCGACATCAAAAACACAACTTAGCCACACCGTGTGCCACTGACAAAAAACAACAATGTAACACCAAGCCTTATGAACACCTGACCATCCCACTTCCCAGCAACATGCCGCAGCAGGCTTTTCGTTCTGGCACGCGCGTTGGTTCTGAGGCGTCGTCACGCTCAGTGCGCTGTTTCAAGTCACCCATTACCGTGCTCAAGGCCGTCTGACTGCCAAGGTAAGTCCGGGGTTATGAAGGGTGACGAACCAAAGTTTTTCACTCCACTTCGGCCCAACAAATTCACAATTGCTTCATCCAACCCAACTTTTCTTGCTCGGGCGAGGAAGGTAGGATCTCCTGTAAGCCAATCGCTCATCGACTGCCATTCCTGATCGCTACATACATGTTGACTGCATTTTTGATAGGGTCGGTCTTCTTCCCAGCAGTCACAGTGAAAGTAACGAAGGAGCTCAGTCGCGCTCAGTCGCGTGAGTTCCTGTCCAGACGAAAGAAGGAACCACCCCATTCTGCTCATTGCGATCTCTAACCCAGAGGTCAGCCAGCTGGAGACAGTCGTGCTCTCTGTTTGGGCATTGCCCTTGGCAAAGTTATCAGCCGCGGTGGCAAGCCGAGACCAGCGAAGAGCAAAGCGCCCATGCCCTTGCGGAACTAGGTAATCAGCCGCGGTGGCAAGCCGAGACCAGCGAAGAGCAAAGCGCCCATGCCCTTGCGGAACTAGGTAGGTCGGGTCTGTGTCGGCGTCCTCTTCCTCAGAGGACACTTCCTCCGGCTGCTCCTGGTTATCAGCCCCTCTTACGGGCACAGGTTGCGCGTACATTGGAGACGGCTCTCGTGTGCCTGTAATGCTTGAGTCAGCATCAGACTCGCTAGGGGGGGTCTCTTGCTCCGCAGAGATCTGTCCACAGAGGGACCTCCACGCGAAGCGTTAACTTGGGCAATGACGGGAATGACATGGACTGCCCCAGTGAGGGGTCAAGTGGATTGTTCTCATATTTCATTTCCTTTCGATAGGCACCTACCACCAGAAAGGGGTTGTCTTCTGCTCGTCCCTTGTTTGTGCGGTAGCCCCAGCCACTTTTCAGCTCTGCAGGTTGATATTGATTGTCTATGATTGACTGGACTAGGCCAGGAAGTACCTCCACAGGGAAGGAGACAAAAAGGTCATTAATAGGGAGTTCTTGTTGTCCATAGGTCATTCCCCGCACGAAGGACATGATGACAGTTTGCATGAATGTAAGGGCGTCAACTTCGTTCTCTGAAGTGTTCTCCTGCTTGGCTGGATCCGCTTTTGCCTCAGTTGTGCGTTTCAGCAGGTCAATGTTGGAGGCACAACACTCGGAACAGAATGCAAGGAGGCCATATTGCCAGAAATGGGGGTTGGCATAAAGAGCCAAGTGTTCTTGCTTGATAAATGTGCACTGCGGGTGACCCTGCGCCAACAGTTCCGCTAGAGGCGCTGCTAGTGCATTGCTAACTAGTAGCAGATCCCCAATGAGTTCTTGGTGCGCTTCTTTCGGGATGCGCCCGAAATAGGTACCATGTAGTCCCTTTTCGGCGACCCGTCTCCAGAGGGCTGTGCGGATGTATCTGTTCACTTGTTTGTATGAAATGCACAGCCTGGCCATTGGCCATTCACGTGGTAGGTCGCTGTACACCTGCATTGGTGGCTGCACAGTACTTTGCGTTGTTGCCCCTTGGGCTGCTTCTTGACAGCTATAAATAGCACGCATGGCCACTTGCTCTGCCGCCAGTCTTAGATCGGTAGCAGCAGTGCCACCTTGTTCTGTTTCTTTGCGCTCGGTAGCTAGATCAATTTCTGCAGTGGCTGCCTCCTGCTCCCGTGCTCCAGAGGGGTTGTATGATGGCGTTGCCGGGTCACTGCTAACTGGCGTCCCCTGCATAGGGTCTGATTGGCAGGCCAGCTCCTCCAGTGTGGAGGGCCGCGCATTCGCTTGGGCATCGTCTGGTATGCTTCCTAAGTGCTGCGCTTGTCCTTGCCCAACAGATTGGCGGAGTTTCTTAGCCTGGAATCGCCATGGCCCTACTTTAGTGGCCGGACGTCGTTTAATTGGGGACTCCGACGCGTTGGAGGAGGAGTCATCTACATTATCGTCGACTCCGCAGGGTGGAAGGGCAGTGCACTCATCATCATGCACCGGCGCCTGCGACTCGGATGCTTTTGGCATGTGGGAAGAGAAGGGCGATCGCTGAGGCTTTCACCCTCTTCATCATTGACAGTAGCTTCATCACCTCTGCCCATTTGGGAATCACTGTCAGCAAAGTTTTGTGAGCTGGGCAACGTGGCTTCTTCTGCAAGTTCTGGTGTGGCACTGCCAACCGACACAGCTTCTCCAGCTTCCCCCGATGCCATGGTGACATCCGTTTCCACTGGTGAGGGCAGTGAGGCAGCTGGTTGACTATCCGGCACAACAATCCATTCCGGTTGTGGGCACGCATCAAGAGCATACCCAAAGAGGAGGCCATGTTTTGCACTGTTGCTCTGCCACGCACTGGTAACGTGTGGCCCTCAAAGCCGCCTGGAAGGCTGCCGTGGCCTCACTGACTTGGTTTGCATCCGCTTCAGAGCGCCAATTGCGGTCAACTTGAGGGAGTCGTTTGTGTGTATGGTCTGGACTCCATGTGGGAGGGTGGCATGCCTTGCATGTCAACTGGACATGCAAGGATCGTGAGGTCGGTAGCCCGGCTATAGGCAACATTTGCTCGTGTGTAACATTCTTTGTCAAAGTCAGCATTCCACCCGTTACCACTAAGGAAGGATGTTCGTCCATGGATTACAATGCAGTGCTTAGCAGTGGCTCCGGCTACTTTGACTGCTGTTTCGGCATTTGCTTGCTTGCCGGTAGCATGAAAGTAGTTTTGTAAAATCGTGGCACTGATGCGCGTGGTCGTGAGTGCCAACACCGCATCACTCCCAGCCTCCGCTCTGCGGGTGATTCACTGCCTCATCACTCTGGGAATCGTGACGGAGACCCGTGGCGACACAGTGATCTGCTCGAATGGAGGCGGTGCCGATTTGCCATGTATCTTGCACTCGGCTGCACAGCATTGGGTGAATGCCAATGAGAGGCTCGTATACCTCTTGTGAGACTCGCGCACTGGTGGGCAGCATGATGCTCCTGCCCTGCAACACCAGATCGTTCCTCAGCCGTCCTGAGGTACGAACCTTGCCTTCGGCCTTGGTGGGGTTTGGTTGTTGTTGGGTGTTGTGTTTTCTGTTTTCTGTTTCTTGCTTGGTTCGTATCTCTCTTATTACTAGACTAAGGTGACTTGTGCATCCGCTGCACACATAGCGCCTCGACCCGTGCAAAAAACTGCAACACCAGATCGTTCTGCTGCGCTCTGCGCTTGGTGAAAGTCCAGAGGACTGTCAAGGTTCGTGGCTGCATAGCCAAGGCCTATCAACAGTCCTTCAGGTAGAGCCAGGTCAACCCTCGCCAGTCTGCGATAGGTTTTCTGCAATGCAATTCCGAAGGGGGACATGGCAGTAGCCCTCTGGTCGGAACCAGGTGCGCCCCAGTGGCACTCGGCTGACAGCCTCTGTGGCCTGTTCCATGTCTTCTTGACTAAACCCTTGGCAATGGTGGGGCAGTTTGCTAAAAACTCCTGGGACTTCATGAGGCATGTACCAACAATGAGCAGCTCGGGCTATGGTCGAGCGGCCATCCTGTATCGCAGAACACAAGTAGTCCTGGAGGCCTCCAGGCAATTGCCACCACATCGTAGAGTGCCTCGTGCTGCCTTTTTGAGTGGGCTGTGGTGGAAGCTATTGTCGGTCCAGCCTGCGCGTATCCTCATGTGTCTACCATACTTGTCACGCATTGGGAATGGCACAAATGCAGAGGGGTTGTATGCCCCCTCTAAGTTTCATGTTGAAGGTTTTAGCGCAGGCAGTCGCACGGGCGCTGTCATAGTATTAGCTCTGCGAGTTTTGTTCCCTGGGTGCCATGTCTCTGCAACACTGGGCGCAATAGCCATGCCCAAGGGTGTGTTTGGAGCATTGATGGAAGTTGCTTCTCCTGGCCAATATGACATTCACCTTGTCCATGCGGAGGAAGATGCGTTGTGCAACTGGCACCCCAGCCCGACTGACCGAAATGCGATTTCTTATCGCCTTCGTTATACGCTCGTCACCGAGTCGGATAAATGGATGGGCTCTGATAAGCACAAGTATTGGCACTGGTTGCACTGCCACCTTCCGCATGGTCGGTGTCACCTCTCTGAGCTTAAGCTAAGCCACCCGGACGTCATACCTATTCGGGATAGAATGGCAGCACCGCTCCGATTGGCATCCTGGATTCGCTTCGAAACGGTTATGGACCAGAAGGACTGGCTGACAGCAATCGAACTGCTGGTGCCCAAGATATACCTATATATCTGATCCTGAACTCCTTGAACTCCTGCGCAGCTGTGTGCCAGAGCAGGGCATCTCGTCTATGGCAGAAGCTCAAGCATTGCTGCTGCGCAACTTTCGAGTGGGAGGCAATCGGCCGAGTGCATGTGCGCAATGGCTGACGGAAGTCACACGAGCCTTATTTGAGCCGATCCCTTTCCGAGAAGTTTTCGTCATATTGGCCCTTTTCCTGCCCCAGCTGACCTTTGCAGAAGGTGCGAAGCTTGACGGCAAACTCTGGTACAGCCCCTCTATCAGCCGAGAAGAGTCGATGGTCCATGTCACGCCAGTTGCTCAGGGCCTCCAGGGCATGCACGAGTATAAGATTGCCCTTGCGGCACACTCGAGAGCTGCAGCCTTTGTTTCTCCGGAGCAGCCGGTCAGCAGTTTCGAGTCTCTTATCACCTTGCCTTCCGAGCACATCCACATCGGCAGTCAGGTAGGTAGAGTGTACCGAATCGTGCTCCGAGAAGATCACAGAGTGTATGCACTCCTGATGGTGCTCCTTGAATATGTAACGCAACCCAAGAAGAAGTCAAGGCAGGGCCCCAATGAATCCAAGGAAGAACTAGCAGTCAGGCAAAGTAGCCCAAGATCATGGACGGTGGCCTTCATCCCCACCCCGGAGACCTTTGCTCCTACACCGACGCAAGCTGAACTGGGTGTGACTTCATCGATCCAATGGGCACTGCCACCGTGTATGCAGCGGCTAGAGACCCGCACCATTGGGCTTCCCATCCTCAGCCTTGCTGAGGTCGGTACTACGGTCTCTGCTGATCATCTGTTGCAAATGGCCACGATGCCCCTCGACAACAAACCGACGGCCCTGGGAATTCCCCACCCGCTCCAGGTCTCCTATCAATTCGACGGAGCAGAAGACCTCCGGATTTGGCCAACAATTGTGCGCTGCGGCAGGCACGGACAGTGCCCACATCCTTTCGATTGCGCTCTCCCTCGCCTCAGCCCTCCAGTCTGGTCGATCAACGTTGGCCATTGCCGGTGTCTTTGGGGCAGGCAAGACACACAGAACCCTCCTACTGGAGGCCCCGATTAGGTTGCGTGCAATGCACAAATGGTTTATGCCGCACGAGCTACCGGCAGTGGCCTGCAGTCTGCTCAAGGAAAGTGCTGAAGTCGCGCTGCAAGAGCTCACACAAGCAGCTCAAGAAGTCAGCAGCAAGGCACTGGGTTCTAGATGGTACTCCGTGAGGACTGTAGCCCCCTATCAGCCCGAGCCAGCCCAGAGGCGACGTATCCAGAGCTCCGCAAAATCAAACTTGACAACCCCTGAAGGACTCATAGCAGGCCTGGGATGTGCTCTAACACGACCTGGACATACGTTCCAATTCCATCAGGCTAGTACCGCAGAAGAACGATCTGGGTTGGCAGAGGCCCACCAGTGGAGT